GTCACAGGTGAGAGACGAAATGACGAAGTAAAACACATTGCCCAGAAGCACAATAAGCGTTAACGTCTCACTCCAGGTCTGTCATTTTGCCGACAACACAGCAATACAGCAGTCTTTCAATTAACTTCATACACCAAACTTCGTAGGAGAAGAGCAGCTGACTGTAACAGCAAGCCTATGCAAAGCGATACAAAAATAATAAGTGTAAGAATGTCACAACGCTTAGCGTACCACCCACAAGATCGGGACCTTACCTATCAATTTTCACCTTACAAAAAAACAAATATTCCTCTCTTTTCGTGCTACGTCTTCGAAAGCACGTATTTTCTAAGAAAGAGGCAAATGTCGCGAATAAAAAACTTGGTGCGAGCTCGAAACAAAGAACAATTCATTTTGTTCTACATTTCAGAAAAAACTGATAAGAGGCACCACTTTGCTTCGAAACGATCTCCTACAAGCTCAGCATAGCATCACGGACCGTCGAGAAACACGTCGACCGTGGCGAGGGGTAGTTGGCGTCTAATTTGTCCCAAGCTTTTAATTGGGCTACCTTCAATCAATTGGAGTACGAGGCTTCGCGCATGCCTTCCAATAAGTATTGTCTCTACGGGGAGATCAAGCGGTATGACATTCGTCGAATGAGAAATACACTGGTCGAAGGAAACTAAGTCTGCAAAGCTCTTCTCACACGAAATTGAAATGTTTTAGCCACGTAGGATATGTTTCTCGTCTATATGCCTTCCCATTTGAGCGTTTGTTTAAATTCTACTAATCGATCTCGAAGAATCACACCTCCTGTAAAGTATTCTGCGGTAATAGTGCCGGATTGAAGCACAGATGACTGCCGGCATTGTTGATATTAGCCACAAAAGTCACAGAAATAATATTGCCACTTCACGAGTCGTAAGAAGCGCATGCAGCTCCGTGAATTTTGCAATAGCTTTTGAGACAATAATTCCGTACAAATACATTCAAATGACGAGAATGCTGATCGCTTGGAATCATTGACGGCGCAAATTGACGACAGAATGACAGAAGAACGATGTCCTCATCACTCACGAGGAAAGCAGAATTTTCGTGGTAGCCGAAGGACCAGTTTAGAGCCAATCAGATAAAAAGAAAGTTCAGGAAGGAAAAGCTTTCTAGTAGTCGGGGATAATGCACCCGATCTCTGTTTCCATAATTTGGCCCTACAGTGTAAAACAAACATATCGAAAGCTGCATAAAGCGAAACTTCTCAATACTTACCCATTCCGGTCCAGAAATCGTTGGCACCAAAAACCGGACCTAATGCACCCATCTGGGCTGTATACCTGAATACAAAAGCATAACAAAGCTCTTTTTGAAAAATGCTGTAGAAATCTACCATATTGCCATTCCATCTGCACCTATACGCCCTTGACCGGTAATCTTTAAGCTGACATCAATCTGGAAGAAATAAGTTCACAATAAATCGACATTTTAGTCCCAAAAATCATGTTCAATTTCCCAAGCTACTGCTGAGAAAACTCTACAAATTTGTAGGAAGGAATCAGATGATGAAAAGATCACGATAAAAGACTGCCTAACCGGTTACCTGGAAGTTCTCGCTTTCAGTCATTGGTCGTTTATTCCATGCAATACCTTTACGACTGCGCATCGAAGGAGCAAGACGTAACTGGTCACTGGACGCGATCGCATCTCCAGACACCTGAAAAACTTACCACAATAAGCTGTTTGTCGCAAGTATTGGGTTGGTCGATAAGTTTCGCGCCACGCCTTTGATCCTTACGCATTCCGTGTTCATGGATGTTGTTATTTCGCACACGCATGCGTGACATATGCACGTCACTCTGTCATCACTACAGCTCCCCACCTTGTACTTGTAGCCACACCGCCGCACATGCATCACTCATGACATCTCGAAGATGGTGATCACCAGCGCTTCCCTACTCATTATTCAGAAGAAGTACCACTTTCTGGATTCGACGATCGCTAGAGATAAGCAGTGGGTCTTCTGGGAGAACCCTGTGAGGAGACGGCAGTGGGTCGACAAAGGAGAACCGTCAACCTGTTTAAAAAGCCGACCTTTACCATAATAAGCAGGTTCTGAAAGCTCACATCGACCGTACGCGTGGGATAAAAGCAGAAATCTACTTTCACCACGACAACGCTAGACCTCCTACTGCAAAGGTGATTGAAGCCAAATGGCTCTTAGTTCCCTTGGCCCCCCACAGCACTGACATCGATCCTCCCTGCTTAGCTGTTACGTTATGTGTAGGACGAAAAAAAAAGTTTGAAATGGAGGATGAGGTTAAGAGAACGAGGGTGGTGGTGGTGCATATCACCAATCTTAAGGCGGCTGCACTTTTGGAATATTAAAAAAAAAAGTCGTTGCGGGAAACTTATGAATCAACTCAGTAGATGAATAACTGTTTTGTGTTTTTGTGATATTAAAAAATCAGCACAGGCTCGCAACACGTTCGATTGATTGCAGTTTCCCCTACAAGACGGTATTTTCACCACACAAAGCTACTTCCGAACAATGAATAATTGTCCCATGTGGTGGGAAATTTGCATAGCTGAACAAATTCAGGCAAAGCCGAACAATAACGCGAAGGTCGGGAATCAATAGTGCTTACCATCCAAAAGGGTATGGAACCGTCTCGCTGAGCCAGATTCGGTGCACGGAACGAATGCTTATATTCGAATCTCTTGAAGACAGGACTCTGACCTATTGCCGTTCCGATGATGGCGAATATTCCCCATACCCAAAGCATGTCTGAAATAAAAAAAGTATTGGTAATTTAGTTTTATACGTGAAACATAAACCGGTATTAAATATAACGAACATCAACTGTCAAAAAAAATCACGTCAATACAGCGGCGAATTAGGGCTGGGAAACGTGTATTAAAAGGCAACCCAAACATTTAACAACAAATCTTCAGATTCATTTTCACACAGTCATAATTCCCGACAATTCTAGTTGAAAAAAGTGTCGTGATTATATTCGAATCTCTTGAAGACAAGACTCTGTCCGAGGATGGCGTTCTTATATACCATAAGTAGTATATTCATAAGAAAAAAATGAAAGTACCGGAAGTACGAGATCTGTGCATGTGGAGCATGCGGCCTTCAGATAATCTCAGTTGTTCCTTAGTCAGCTAAGGAAACCACCAATCTTAAACGAGTACAGGGAGTGCTCTTAAGCTCTTATATGTTCCTCTACATGAGTAAATAACCAGACAAGTAGCCGGAATCAACAGGTGGGTCGAAAGGGAGAAAATGTGATGAGAGAGCCTGACCCCGAGGCAGAGGCAACCCTATATCTTCGAATTCATAGGAACCCCAACAACAACATGTACTTTAAATCTACGACTTACAAAATGTACTTTAAATCTGCAAAAGAACAGAAAAGACCTAAAAGCAAAAAAAAATCAGAAAAAAATTTCGGTTGCCCACAGGTAAGGAATAAGTGTAGCAAAAGAGGCAATCCGTAGTTAATGATAAACGGCTAAGGCTCCAAGTAGAAAGGATCGAGAAGAATACCCATAATGATAGAAATTGATTGACTATGATTCGTTTCCGTTTCCTTGGAAGCAGTTGTTTTGACGGAAGAGTTTCAAAACATCGAAGTATGACTTCTTATTGCGCCAATGAATCATGTGCAGCAACATTTCATGGAAACAAACAAGAAGCCTTCCTAGTAGATGCCCCCGTTGGAGAAATGAAGACCGGTGGGGTGCCCACCAAAGCGCCGAACTGCAAGCGACACGTCATCAGAGCATGGAACGCGCTATCCCTACCCACTCAAGGCAAATCGCTGGGACGGGCGTGTTGTAAAACTGAATTCCCAGTTATCGACTTAGAAGGTTCATAAGCGAAACAGCAAAGTAAGACATCCTACGGCCACCTGGACAACCTCAGGGCCGTCCAACAGATCGCACCCAAAACTAGGCGCCGAACCTAGTGTCTGGTCTGTACCCACGACAAAGACACCATGGTACGGCAGAAGTTTTTGTTGGCGAGGTTCTTGAAAAGCTCCAGACTTCCTTCTTATCAGCATTGCTGTTGTTGGCACTGGAGAACAACATTAGGAGGTTTGAGTTTGAAGGATATGACAGAAATTTTCCTCTACGATAAAAAAGCCCCCAATCAGAGGTTAAAAATCGCTCGGTGGGAGGTGGTTCGACAAGCGATTACAAAGGGGGTTGGGTTCCCATGAATGAAGGCGTTTCACGTGTTCCTTTCCGTTAATTGAGGAGATGCCCCGCAAAAAAAAAACAGTTTCTCTTCCAACTATACGTTGAGGAAGTCGTTGGAGTCCGGATATCCATAGGCCTCCTAGCACCTACCAACATTTTACCATCCGTTGTGGGACTCTGATCATCTTAGGGGTCGAGGATGCCTTCTGATGATTCTGGATCGTAGAAAGGTCCTCACACACTCCGATTTGGAGTTGATGAACGCCCGTAGTCTTTTGCCCTCAAAATTTTTGGAGGGCAACATGGTTCATAGAATAAGATTAAAGATTAAAGAGGGTCTTGAGCAGTTGGGATCAGATAAGCAGAAGCTTGGGAAACCATCGGCGAAAAGAGCGGAGCTCCGAGGTCCGATCCAATTCACTGGATCGCCTACAACGATCGATAGGTGTGAAATCGGCTACGGTGGACTGCGGTCGGAGTCGGACACGCTGCGAACCGATCGCCGGCCCACTCGGACGAGGACAAACAGAACGGCCGCCCCATTGAGCTCCCTAACATAGTAGCCTGTATAATTTGCCCATCACTTTTTTCCTATGGACTTCCAATGGGGATCCTCTCTCACCAAGGTCCGCAGGTGTGCGAACTTTTGTGCGATCATTGAGTTCCACACCCGCATGTGCAGACGGCATGGTGACAGCATAATGGCCATGACCACCTCCACATCTAATTAAGATCGCTTTGCGCCGTCGTGCAAAGTGGCCTCAATCCACCCGAGTCAGGGCCACTCTGGCTCTCTCTGGCTCTCGCCTAATCAAGGTCGGCGTTATATTTCTATGGACCTCTCGTCGACTTCGATTCCTACATCTGCGACCTACAGCCGACGGGTCGAGATGAGTCTCGTCCCAGAGGTTCCCAGATGTCATTATCAATGGACCTTTTCCCTACATCACTGGTTGAGAATCTCAGATTATTGGCGGTCGGATAAGTTTTGTCGCAAAAACAGAAAGAAATAAAACCATGGTGTTTCACTGAGTCGCAAATTGCTAGATGGTTGTAATAGTAATATAATAATCGCAATCATAAGTGCTCGTATCATAGTATCGTTAAACCCGTAGGCCACAAGATTCGGTTGGTAACTGCTCTTATCAACTCTTATCAATTGTCACCATTCCCTGTCCTAGAGTGCCTACGGCCTTGTCACATCCTCACCTAAGAAAATGTCAGGGTTCTGCTGGTTAACACGAAAGGCGTTACAAGCCTAGTGGCTTTACCCTCCTATGGCTCTTCCTTACCCGAGTCTCCTCCAGTGGCAAGTGGCGCACTATATCACGCGCACGGTCAGGGGTTCGAATCCCGGATCGATGCCAGCCTAGGCCAACCAAGCCTTCCATCCCTCCGGAGTCGGTGAATTGGTACCAGACTCGTCTGGGAGGATAAAAGCACTGACTTGTACATCGGCTGGCCACCGCAAGTCATTGTATAGGCCACATACGCACCCATTACGCCACTACGATTCTAGTGCGGGGGCGCATCCCTCAGACGGGATTGATTAACGCCAAAAACTTTATCCTTTATCCTTATGTTTTGGAAGGGTCATGACTAGAAGGTAGGAATTGTAAATATAATTGGTTCCTATGGACCGAAACATTACTAGTATATACGGGCGTGTGTTATAAAATCCCTTGTTCCCTCTTAGATAAAGCAAAAAAGCGAAAGTTCTCAGCTTTAATCAATACCGTTAAGGGTGCGCCTGGCATTCGACTTCCATTAAGGACCGTAGTTTTTGATCCGTAAAATGACTCTCTTCTTTGGCCAGCCCAGCTTAAGTCAGCGTTTTTATACTCCAAGAGGAGTCTGATAACGAAAAATCGACTTAGAAGGGAAGAAAGGCTTCTCTAACTTNCCCTTGTTCCCTCTTAGATAAAGCAAAAAAGCGAAAGTTCTCAGCTTTAATCAATACCGTTAAGGGTGCGCCTGGCATTCGACTTCCATTAAGGACCGTAGTTTTTGATTCGTAAAATGACTCTCTTCTTTGGCCAGCCCAGCTTAAGTCAGCGTTTTTATACTCCAAGAGGAGTCTGATAACGAAAAATCGACTTAGAAGGGAAGAAAGGCTTCTCTAACTTTGGCAGATGTAAATCCGAGGTTCGGTTACCGGGCCATGCATGTGTAGTGCGCCACTTATGGTACTACGTTTCCGCCCTTTCCTGGATAGTAGGCTAAGTAGTCAGAGAATACCCATCCACCAAAGGAGACTCTCTATGGGATAAAACCGTTCAAGAAAGGTAGTTACGACAAAAAAGGGGTCTATCTCATCAGCACATCTGAGGTAAATTAATGAAATGTACAGAAGGCTTTAAGATGATCAAGGTGAAGGGTAATTTGGGATCTTATTGTATGGGGAAGCAATGCATTTTACATTGACGAAACCGAAGGCAGGTCTCCTCAGTGAACCGACAAATTTCATTTCATATTGAAAAGTAAAAGAATGCAAAATGCTCTGGGAAACCCTGATAACTTATTCGCTTCTCATAGTTGTTCGGGCTCAGGGGTGGAGTGGCACAACCCCAAGGCCATTTCCCTTCTTCGCATAACCATCGGTAAGCGTTCTGTCGTGCTGGGCCTTTTCTTGAAAGTGTTCTATATCACGTCGTCCCGTTCATCATCATTTTGCAAGGGCGGTCGTCAGCGACGTCTCTATCCTCCTTGTCGTGAGCCAGTGTAGCCAGTTACACCAAACATAACGTTAGTTTCGTTCAAAGATTTGAGCAGGAGTATGACCATCGACTTGGCTGCCTGGTATTTGCTTAATTTCCCGAGGGAACCGGGAAATTAAACGCATTGGTCCAATGTATGCCACAAAATCGCATGGCTATGATATTCAATTCGTCAGGATAAGAAATAACATTTCTGATTCTCTGAGTTCCCCTCTGTTTTTGCGTTGGCTACGAATCCTTAAAATTCCTTCCATGTCTTATCTGAAGTTCTGACTTCTTCGGCACGATCTCTCCCATACTCGAAGATTCGAATGGTTCCACAAAGGTTATTTCCACAGGCAGTTAGGGGAAATCTGAGATTCGGATTTCCCCTCACTGCCTGTGGAAATGATCCTTGTGGATTTCGATTCCTATCATTTCCTTCAACGGATTGATCATCGAAGGATAATCCTACTTTCCACCCTACCACTTCACAGTTTGGTCGCAAAGGTCCGAATTCATGGAACTTCAGAAATATTCCTGAAGGTACTCGGTTGAGGTGCTGTCCATCTGTGTCATTGTAGATGAAGTTGTTCGCGAATACTCAAGGTTTTGTATCTTCTGGAGGATGTAGTACTCCTCATTAACCTTCACATCAGCAAACACTACTGATGGCACACACATACGATGATAGGAACATTCCGTCCCAGTAGGGGTCAACATCCTTGCCACCGTTTGCTAACTGAATATACTGCTGCTGCTACACGCTGCTGTGCACTGAAATACTGCAGAAGTTTTGAATAATGTTAGGGAAATGTCCATTGAACAGATTACCGACAATCCCAACAACTGGTAGTGGAAATTGCCCGACACCCAAAGAAGTAATGGGTCTTTGGTCGAGCTTTTATAGACCTTTGAAAAGGGTTTCTGGAAGAGAGCGGCAAAGCGATGTCAGTGGAGTAAGTTTCCTTTGTTCAGGCCTCACACATGGCGCTGAGCGTCGACCCGCCTGCAGTACTCTATGCATACCAGTCCGATGGCCAGAAGCCTACTCCCACACGCCTGTATGTGTCTCTTCACACGAAAAAATCTCCCTTTTTCCCCCTTTATCATGACGTGTTTTCCATTAGCTACACTTTCAGCTCCTTTTTCTCTTCCGTTGACGTAAAGTCTGTGCCACAGTCGAATTTGTTAAAAAGTACGAAAATCGTGTAAGATGGGGAAGTGCGGGAATGCAGCTTGTAGAAGTTCTACCACTTCGCAATTCTTCCCACTTAACACTCTTTCGTGGCAGAGTAGTGGAGCCTGTGGAGTCGCAGAGTTGTGGTTGCTCCAACGGAGCCTCTATCAGCACCGCTTTTTTTGTAAATTCATCTCAAAATGATTGTGCCAAGGAGGCATTCTAGGGATTCGCGGCGAGTGTCTCGGTTGTGGATAGAAGCAGAACCCAACACTTTTCATTTTACTCATTGCTGTAGCCATGTCTGGTCGCGATCAACCGCCGAAGGACTCTCCTTCCTCGTCGTCGACGCCTTCCCGTCAGAAACGTGGTTCTATGACTTCTCCACCACCGCACAATCACCATCGGCCCGTGACCCGTCAGAGTTTGAGGAATCAGCGGCCTGTCCTCATCATTCCACCGGAGCTGGTTCAACGTGGAAAAAGATCTGTGAGGGTCCATGAAATCTCACGAGCTTCCATACGAAAGCTGGCTGCTCGAGCGGGAGTAGAGCGGCTACGCAAAGATGTGTACGAAGAATCGCTGCAATATCTCGAGACGTTTCTAGACAATATCATCTATGACATTATCCAGTACTGTACCCATGCAAAAAGAAAAGTGATTCATGTCGAAGACGTCAAGAACGCTCTGAAGCGGCGTGGTTTGTGTGTCTATGGATTTGATGATTAAGAAAATACAACTCTTTATTAAACATGAATGCATAAACTTTGTCGATATGGTTGTTACAAGTTACTAATCATTCTGGCTGTTCCAATCAGACATTGTTCCTACTGTGCTGAAGATTAAGCTTTTGAAGTTACTTGTCGTTGCAATTCGGTTCAAGTAGAGTACTGTTCGCAACACTGTCACGCATTCAAAGGCTGTGGGTACACTGTAATTGTGTAGTGGTATCTCTGAGGGCATTATTTTCTCTCCCTATTCGTTTCTGAGCCGTAGGAGAGGTAGACAGAAGCGTAAAATGATCTTATCAGTCCTCCTAACACATCGAATAGGGTAAATCCATCGGTGACAGCCTGCATTCACGTTCAGCGTGAAGAATGGTTGCTGACAGTTCTTCGTTTCTATCTGAAGGTTTTATAGCTGCAGTTTGTTTGGTAACTGGAAAATAGATTTTAAAAAATGATGCGTTAGGATGCTTCATAAGTCTTTGGTTCAGTTTTTTTTTTCAGTCCGACAGATCTGAAGCTCGGTTCACCCTCACCTCAATTCCCGAAACACCTTTGCTGATTAGCCGTTTTGGCTCCTTTCATTTAGTGGTAGTAAGGAGCTACTGTGTAGCAACGACAGCTAACAAATTTACAGAATCGATTAATGAGACCATGCTTTTCCGCATTACCTCGGCAATTGGTCAGAGATCGCGTGACGCCTAGAAACTCCATTACTTTGTTTTTTACCCAGAGGATCTCTCTAGTCGTTTTTTGAGTTCTTACATGTTCCTACGTACCTCAATTCGTCCCCTTATCAGCTTCAGTACGGTATCTCAAGGCGTTCGCGATGGAGAATATTCCCAAGTGATAGCAATTTGTGGCCTTCGAGAAGGCCACATGGGTTATGGTTAGGAAAAAAGCTCCAGTTAGAGCGCGGTAAAGCCTAGGTATTTTCAAAAAGGGACGTGTTGAGCGGTCATGTATACCTGACCAACGTCGCTATCCAGCGAATGAGGTCTCGTTCCAGTGAACCATTCGTCATCAGGAGCTCGTCCACCAGTAGGCATTATTAGTTTTAAAGAAGCTTTATGTTTTGAGATCCTTTGATCTTCCGATTCTTCGCCAGCGATAAACTATTCTGCAACAACGGTTTCGCTCTATAACTCTATGAAGGCACAATGACCTCGACCTCTAATGCCTCTAATGCTCAAGGATCCAAGTACAGTGATTCCAATGGATAGTATATATTAGACGGCAACGAGAACAGGCCTTTCCCGACTGATGGGGCAGCAAATAGATGCATCTTCACCGTGTACCAAAATTGGCATGCAACAGGATACGACTCTGATGAAAACTTTCAGCTAGTGAACTTCCAATCTTTCGTTTGAATAGAAGTGTAATGTGAGTGATAATCACTGCATTTTTTCGGCATTTCTAGTGCAGCAAATAAAATTAAATGACTAAAACTTTCATTTATGACAAATCTCAAGTGTATTACTTGAGAATTGTAATATTGGGCTGATACATAATTCTTGCGGATTTTTTTTCAGCGAATTTTGCCTGAAGGAACTACAGAAATATTTAGCAAAGACATGTTCAAATAATTACTCCGAAATATATCCACTATCTACTCAAGCGCTGCTTCACATTCGCTGGCAGTCGTTCCACAGGTGAGGAATTTTTGATTCTTGGAGACGATCCACGCCTTGACCTCGGCCATGAAGTCAACCACCTCGCCGAAAGGTCTATTCGCTAGCCATTTGTTCAACGGACGATCGACGCAATAATCCATGTAATTTTCTGTAGGTGAATGGGACGAACGTGGAGCAGATTCTATACTTTATTCGGCTTTGACTGACTATTCCACCGCCGAGAAGTTTGTTGAAATCACTTTATGACCGCGCCATCTTCCAATCTTTCTCTAAGTAATAGGGCATAATGTGAAGTA